TTCACATGTGCTTACATACATACCAACCCATTTATACAAGTTGGGCACCAATAATGGGTGCTCACCGAGCTGTAGGTCTTTTCACGACCTAAATGACCACCAAGTGGTGTATCATAAGCCTCATAAAGTATCTGATACTTGAGGTCCTCATCATGAGAGACCACAACACGAGACTGATCATCCAACCCTATACGACCGTACAACAGACCATCGGTCAGTGCATAACGATGTAATCTTGAACAATTACGTGGTTAGAGTTTTCAAACTCTGCGCTCTCAGCGCCTGCAGAATGGCAACACATGCCTCATCGCGTGCATACGCCAAATGGATACGATCCGTTACTGACAAACTCACAACAGTGAGATGAGCAAGCTCATAGTCAGGTCTACGCAATAACGCGTCAGCCAAAACATTCTTTTTTCCGGCTTATACTTCACCTCGAAGTTATACTCCGCGAAAAAGGAGAGCCAACGAGCCATTCTCTACAAGAGATGAGGCGACTGTATCACTGTGAGTAACGACGCATGATCAGTATAGATCACAAACGGCTTTGAGCCAACAGGTGTGCCCTGAACTTAACAAGGGCATACTTCATCGCAAGTAGCTCCTTGTCATGAACTGGATAGTTCTTCTCTGCAGCTTTTATCTGGCGAGACTCAAACGCGATGACGCGTTCTCGATCCTCAGAGTCGACTTGCAAAAGTGCACTGCCAATGGCAAAGTCCGAAGCGTCACACACGACGCTAAACGGGCAATCAGGATCAGGCAGGGCTAAAATTGGCGCCTGAAGGAGACTCTCCTTAATGGCTTCAAAAGCCTTGTGGTGCTCGGTGTTCCAACACCATTCCACATCCTTCTTAAAAGATTGGACAATGGCCTAGCCACTTCCGCATACTTGTGCTATACTTGTGCAAGTAATTTGCCAAACCCAACCACTTGCGGAGGTCATTCTGGTTCCTCGGAACCGGCCAATCCACTATGGCTTTGACCTTAACATGGTCTGCCCGGATTCCTCGCTTCCCAATGAAGCATCCCAAAACGGAAATCTCTTCCGCACCGAAGATGCATTTGTCAATATTTGCATACAGCTTATGCATCCTCATGCAACCGATCACAGCTCGCAGGTTTTCGATGTGATTCTCCACATCAGTCTTGTCATTTTCGGCTCGACTATGGACGAATGTATCGTCAAAGTATGTCTGTGCATACGCTCTATGGGGCCGAAACAACTGCGTCACTAGACGACTAAGCGTTGCAGTTGCGTTAGATAGCCCTTGGGGTATCACTATCCACTACCAGAGCATACCGCTCGGAGTGCTGACCGCTGTCAGCGGGATATCTCTAGCTTGCAAGAGCAGTTGGTAATATCCATCGACTAAGTCGAGAGCATTGTACATCGTACATCCCACCATATTGTTCTGAAGAACATCCTTGCGAGGAATCGGTGTTTGAGCCGGGATAGTGGCTGCATTCAGCTTATTGTAAGCATGCACTATTCGCCACTTACCATTAGGCTTTCTCACACAAAACGTGGGCGTAGAGTGAGGAGACTTACTCTCACGCACCATGCCAGCTGCGTGCTTTGCACAAAAGAACTCATCAATGACGTCACATTGTTCTCGTGGCAGAGGTCACTGTCGCGTCACACAGTATTTGGTACCTGGAACCAAGTCAATTTCATGACGTACACTTCTATCCGGCGGTAACCTCGTAGATGGTTCTCTGGAGACAACATCTCCATATTCCTTCAACAAAGGAAAATAAGGATCCGAAGGGTCCTTCAGGATCTGTGATCCACTACGCGCATTCAGCGCCTTCTTGGTATCTTCAAGAACTGCTTTATCCAAAAGCGATGAGGAGTTCAACTCCTCCTCAGGTCGTATAACGACCACTTCGGCGATGCCGCCTGCCTGTAAGGCACTGACAAACTCGGCAAAGGACAACTCGTCCAGCTCTAATAGAGCACTTACTGCGGGTATTGCTGAAAGAGCCACTGGCTCTTCAACATCCCCAGTCAAACCATCGACGAGTGTACATAGCTGTTCGCTATCACCGTCACTCACGATATCATCATCGCTACTCATGATGCTCTCAGCATCCGACGCTTCAGCGTCCACAGGTGTACACACCTCAAGGTCAAAGACCACTTCGTTTTCTGACTGCACCCACCCTCTTAAGTCAATGCCTCGTCATGTGGTATTCGCACCTCGCTGTCCTCAAAGACAACCGTCATTTTTGACTTCACCCGACCCTCTTGGGCCAGTACCTCGTCATTAGGTGCTTGCACCTCGTCATCCTCAAAGATAACATTCAAAGATAACTTCACTCGACCCTCCAGGGTCAGTACCTCGTCGTTAGGTGCATGCAACTCGTTATCCTCAAAGTTAACACCCATTTGTGACTTTACCCGGCCCTCCAGGGTCATTTCCTCGTCCCTCATGTCACTTGGACTCATGTCCTGACATCTTGACTTGCAGCCACCAACACCACTCACGGTGTTTAATGATGTAACATCATTCTCATGACACATGTCATATGTGCCATCTAGTGGGTTCTCTACCACACTATCGACAGTCATTGGGCCTCGCCCAGGACTATTGTTCTCGACACTTACAGTGTCTACAACGTCGGATATTCCGATATCCAACATATTGACCGACTTGGTCCAATATCCGCGCCAAAATCGCTTTTGCTTCCTAGCAGAGGTGGTTTCATGACTCTCCAGAGCCCCACCAGGATCATTGCGCGTTGCGCCTAAGGTCTTCGACCTCCAATCAATCCATGGCTGATGACGTTCTAGCCATGCCATGCCTAGGATGAGGTCATACCTTGCATCCAGGTCTAAGACGAAACAGCTCTGCATGCTGTTAAAGTCCAAGAACTTTACATTTAAGTCCATCGGGACTTTGGGTACCGTTACACGCGTACCCGTCGCTAAGCGAACTGTGACTGTGTCACTTTCATAAGCTACAAGCGCTTCAGCATACTGCTGACTACTTTCCGCGGTGGCACGGCGCGCATAATTGCCCGATGCCCCCGAATCGATCAAAATGATCCATGACTTATTATAGCCATTAACCGTCCCTTTGACGACTAGCAAGCCTATCTTGCATTATCGTTCCGTTTTTAAGAGTTCGAATCTCTTTGAGGCGGGCCCTGTCTGTTTACTTATACCTCCTAGAGGCTCAACAGAACTCAATTTTTTCCCAAAAGGTTTACCCATGGAACGTCGGCTCTTCGAGGCCAAATATGCCTTTCTTGCAGGGCATTTTGCCATCGAATGGCCTGTGCATTTGCAGATATAACATCTGCGCACAATTTGCTGCTCCGCAGCATGAAGCTCAGCTTCTTCATCCTGCACTTGACTACAGTCCATGGGTACAGACCCATCAGACGAGTAGTTATAAGTCGCAGGACTAGCGGACTTGAAGTTGGTCTCGGCATTCCATGCCACTCCAACAGCTTCCTCGAATGAGGACGAGTGTACCCGGAAGACTTCCGTTCTGGCAACACCAAATTGGAGGCCCTCCATGAAGACCGTGACGGTCACTGCCTCAGGCATAGGGTCTATGACCATGGCAGCAGTAAGAGTTCTCAATTATTGCACATGCCGCAAGCTCACGCTTGCCTTGGCGACACGCCAAAAATCACGGCCGATTACGGTGTGCCTGGTTTGGCAGTACATACTGCCAGGTCATCTGAACTTTCAGACTGCCCCATGTTGGGAAAAAAATCTTACAGTGATGCACCGCATGTGAACGCCTATTGCTTGGCTAAGCCGTCCAACTTACCCGTGGCAAATCCAACACGGTAGTGTCGGCCATTAACATAGCCAACTCAACCTGTACTTTGGCTACGTGCGTTCCTGCCACAATGCGAATTCTATGTACCTTGACGCGGCCGTACCAAAGAGGGACTAAGTTTGATGTATGTAAGGCACAACTCTACCAAAATGGGGTGGCAGGTGTGTATGTATAAGCCACACCCTTGTAAGACCCCGTTGCATTGCTCATATTAGAGGTATTCTTACTGTAAGCTAGCAAACGCAGAGGTCTGCAAATCGTGTCTGTCTAGGTTGCAGACAAAAAAAAGTTGCCAACGTTTCTGGTTGCGGCTTTTCCTTACCGACGTGACATGATTGCGACGTTTCGTTTGTCGTAATTACTACAGTAGTTTTACAATTTTGCACGCGATTGACATATAAATTGGTATCGTTGAAATGTTGTTTGAGAGATCATAAGGAATGGTGATACGTTCAAACGGGTGCACGGGCAATACGCTTTGTAAGCTAGTCTCAAGTAACGGTGTAGGCTGACAGTGATTATAGTTCATTATTCTGCAAGTCATGCTTACGCGAATATCTTAAAGACCGACTTTTGTGCATAAGGTGACCATATTGTAATAACATTTATCGATTATAGAAATGCTAAAACCGTAATCGAATCGATGTGTACCAACGAAATGGTCCATGGAGGCGTGGCGTTAAGACAACATTTACAACTACCAATTTGTAGCAATAGCAATCGAGCGATTTTACAGACAATAGCTGTCAAATTCACACCGAAAGTAGCAAAAATGATAACAAAATGTTAAGGGCCGTATTGCAGGAAGCTCGCAAGAATGTTATCAACGCAATGAGTACTTGTGTTCCTCTCAATAACGTTATCTTCTTTCCAGATTTATTTAATGCATAAGGAATGCAATCTAGCAACGAGAAGACTGACGTTGCTTACATGGCGATGTTGCAAATTGTGTGTTACCTTTTGATTGAGAACTGAAGGCCTCGGCACAAAGATGATGATTCTATTGCATCATTTAGAAATATTTCTTACTTGCTTATAGTTGCTGCAAAGCTTAATCATTGTTCATATAAACACACACAACGACAAAATCCACGGTCTTTCTCATTACAAAATGTTTATTTTCTAGTTAAAAGCACAGCAGTTCAAATTTGTTAGAATTAGCTAGAACAAAGATAGAAGTAAGAAACAATGTCTTGCTCAAAAGTTTTCTACAGCAGGTGAGATCGTACGCGGTGCCGAGCTTAGAGATATCAGCGATCCCTCAAAAACACGCGACACGTCCTCTAAGCACCCAACGATATGGAGCATTGGTGTGAGCATATCCGATTCACTGATAATACTTGTTACTCGGCCATAGCTATCATTCCAGTCGAACCTTGTTGACCCACGCATTACAATTCGCTGGCCTAAAAGTTTCTGGCCAAGTGACGAAATATCGCTTCTATCACCTTTTAACAGGCACGGGAAAACCTGGCGTAGTGAGAACTCAGTGATAGTAAAACTAGTGGTGATGGAGGCTACAAAAGAGCTCAAGCCGCATCTTCCCAATCCGTGCAATTCAATCTCGACGTCTTGGAACCACAGCGTAAAGGACTTCCAGTTTTTCATCATGGATTCTACACCACGTCCTGCATTGAATAATACATCTGGTGTCATCGTTGCTTGCAAAAAAGTGAGTTGTGCAGATGGCTGTAAGTCTTCAGAAAGTCCTTCGAATGAAACGGGTTCTCGATATCCAAAGCGAAAGAGCCGAAAGTACTCGACAACAACATTCCACGGAGTTTTTTCACTCGGTATAGCGGAACAAATGGCACGTTGACGTTCCTGTAGCTTCGCAATCTCATTTTGAAGCTTGGAATTTCCCATTTCAAGACTCGCAGTATAATCTTCCTTTTTTCTTCGATAGCGAATTTGTCGTAGTCGACGAATCTCTCGTTGATACTTGACGTGGCTTTGAACCCATTCCGTTATCACAGCCTTCTGCTCTTCACCTCCTTTAAACCGATGCTCCGGTTTAAATGACATTGAGCCGCCGCAGGAAATAGCTAGCAATCTTAGTTTCGAGCTAGCAAAATCGACTGATTTGTGTCTCTTCTTCTCTCTTCCCGTTGAAAACAATTGATCTTTCACTGCCGCAGTTAAGTAAGTGCGTTGCTCCAAATCATTGATCATGTTTGGTTCGTCATTACGTGATACGTATGTAGTTCGGTAAGACTTGCTGCGTTGTTGCACGCCCAGCACAATGTCGTCACTTAGGATTTGTTTCGTCGGTGGTTGCAAGATGCAAGTATTCATCTTGTCTATGTGTATAATTCAAAATAAGTAGAAAATTAATCTGCTAGTGAGACTGCAGATTATAAAATGAAGTCATTTGAGTCTTCTTCTCACGTTCTGAACAACTTACAACCCGCGTAAACATAGCCTTTCACATGCACAAGCAGGATCACGAATGTAAACAACTGGAGTGTATACATTAAATATATATAAATGAATTTTTCTAAATATCGATTTGCTATCAATCTAGCATCTTCGAGAGGATATAATATTCTGCTTGCAGAACTAATTTTTAAGACCTAATTATAATTATAATACAACGAGGAGAAAAACCAGCTGGAACGACACAAGATGTCTTGACCTGATCTGCTCCTACGCTTTCGGTGTGATAGATGGAGCATGCTTCGAAAAATACAGTTAATTATTGGCGCCCTAATTACTAAAAAGCCGAGTATAAACAGTACAAGCGTTAGACGCGATTGCTAGCAGTCATGTTAGACGTGTGCTGACTGTTGCCTAACATGATCTCATTAGTGTATGCAATAGAGATAGCAGAAGATAGCTCGAGATTGTGGCACGTTTTGGCGTCGACAAGATCATACATAATTGGCAAAGTATAAAGATATCACGTATTTGATTGGAATAATTACCATCGCAAGATGCGAGTAGCGACATTCCCGAAGCTGACAACAGATTCACCGTGTTGTTAAGGTGTGTGAGAGCTATGAATACAAAGAAAAGTCATGTGAGTGCCGGGGCAAAATCTGCGACAAAAGTTATCAAAAGATGGGTCCTTTGAATCTGCAGCTTAAATTTTTAAAGAGGTCCATGTGGATGCCTACCGTGCTCAGTTAGTGCTTAGGTAAATAGAAACAACTACACAACATCGTCCGTAAAGTCTTTGTCATCCTTTGCGGGAAGCACAAGATTCATACCCCACGAGCACTTTCGATCTCTGCATATTGTTGCTTTCATCGTGCTATGTATCCGCGGACGTTGTAGCGATCATGCATCGTGAGCAGTGAAACGACGTCGCGGCAGGCATCACAAGCGCAAAGACCCGCCCACGTGTCGTTTGATACCATTTTCTTAACCTAAATTTTGCGAAATTCTTCGGGTGCCAAGACCAGATTGAGCTTGTTAGCCAAAGTGTAGGGTCGTGGAAAAATGGTATGACAAATGTAAAAGCATGGGAGCTTGCTGCACTAAATAGCACTGCTATGGCGGACTCAACTAGCTGGTACACCAAAATGTATCTTTGGTTGCTACCGCACACACACCATCTTCGTCCGGCTATAGTTTAGCTCTCATGCAAGCAAACAATTTGACAGTTTAGTAACTAGCTCACGAAAAGCGACAAGTACAGCACGCTAGCGTAAGACCGCAATTGTGGACACGACCAGTAACGTACTAAACGCCCCTCGACAGGCAGGTGCAGCCTATAAAAGCGATGGGCAGAGGTAATGCTCTGCAAGATCAAACGAACGACGACATAGCTTGTGCCTAGCGTCTGGACTAGCCAGAATCACACATGTCATCCGTGGCCTGCTCTGCCAAGGCTCTTAATCTTCACCTTATGTATGCTCGTGGCACACAAAGCAGCCAGCTTTAATACCATGAACTCATTGCCCAGCTTGCTTGATGAATTTGCGTCATCGTGCTGGTGTCTGTATGGCTGTCTATAATTCTGAGCTCGAGTGAAAATGAGAGCTTTACGCCGTTTTGGTGGTGCAGCATCACCGAATTTCTTATTATATTCGATGAGGGCGCCGAATAATTGCAGATGATGACGTTTAGCATAAAAAGGAAGTGTCATCAACATGCGCGTTTATCATAAAAGATGCATGAGCAGGTCTGCGGGAAATTTTCATAATCGTCTCGAGGTGAAAAGTAGACATAAAACTGCATAGTATACTTAGCACTACTTGCTTACTGCAATAATGGCGAGCAGTTTCTCATTCTAGTCACAAAAGTACGGGCTTGAGCAATCACAAAATACATTTTTATTATACTACTACACACAATCTAAAGATATAGAACGTTTATATTTAGATTGCAGCTGTTAGTCATTTATTAATGCAAATAAATTAGGTAATATATATAGGGAAAGGGGTTTTGCAATGCCAGCATTCTAATAAATTTTACCCAGAGAAATAGAACTTTATTTTCTATACCTAGTTTAGAGCAGATTACATCCGTCCAGGATGAGTCTTTGAGCAAAACAAGGCTTCTGATATCGCGAGGTTTTTCTATGTTAAGTAATGCACTGAAGTAAGCGCTACACGTGACTGAGTGTTGTATGTACTAGATTGTCTTGCATTTATTTGAACGAGGTCCAAAAGTGGAAGGTGGTAGATATTAACATCATAATGCCATGCTCTAAATGCGGCTCTTCGAGCTTTTTTCTATAGAATAACAACAATTAATATCAATGTTGTGTAGCATCGATAACTAAAACACTATAGCTGCTGCGTGAAAAGAAGTGAAAGGTTAATTGAATAGCATTAGTGTACGTAAAAGGTTGGTCTAAAGGTAACCTTGTATCTACATTGGAATCTTTGTTACATTAAATTGTTTAGCAAATGTGCAGAGTAATGATCTTCGCGTTGTTGCGTTGCCCGTCTGCAAAGCAAAAGTTCATTGGTTGATACGGTGAAGGACTTTTCGTACTTTTAATCCACAAGTCATGGACGGATGTCAGCTTTGTTACAAGCTCACTCCATGCTATCGCCGTGTTATTAGATTAGGCTGGCCTCATTATCTGTCATTTTGATCCAACTACTTGATCTGTATGAGCAGCCCTGAGTTTTTTACCGACTTTTTGATAAACACATACAAGACGAAAGCTAGGCAAAAACGCTAACTCGGAACGGCTCTGACGCTAAATTGCAAGAGAAGCTAGCCGAGGCAGGTACTTAAGCTAAGCGGAAAAACGCTGTTTGGGACCCCAACAGATACGACATTCTTAGTCACATAATAAGAGTATTGACACTATAATCTAATCGTATAAGAAAAATATAAACACGGTCGTGCGATGACGATGGCTACAAATTAAATCCGCGGACTCAATATTAGCGTTGTGATATAATAAAGCGCTACGCGATCAATTAGTACGAAGAGCCAGCTTTGGTTGTGTTTACTAGTCATATAGGCTGCAAGGCCTTTATAACCTCGATTGTCTGTTTGCACTAGTCTGCAATCATTAGCGTAGTACATCATTTCTAACAATACCTCTCTCCTCATGTACAGGATGTCAATCCAAGAGAACACCATCATCTATTCATGCCAAACTTCAACTCTAGATAGGTAACGCAACATAAGATGCTGCAACGTAAATTTCAACATCTCTTTGATCCTTTCTTGACTTTGCAATAGTTGTCCTGTAATCCTACGGCTCTTAGTAAAAACGTCACTAAACCTAGACAAGTTCTATATAATAATGTCAGACGCAACCACCAAGAAGCTCATGGAAGAAATTGCTCGACTTGAGGCGGACCTAAAAACGCTTGAACCCTCTTGTACCACGTCTGAAGCTGCTAAAAAGTGGGTTTATGTTCCTCAGTACCTTATGTCCACTCAAATTAACGATAGGAACTCACGTGCTTGTTTTTTGATCTAGAGTCGCCGAGTATTGTCAAAACACGCCAGATCCATTTCTTGGAGAAAACAACAGTGAGCCAAATCCGTGGCACCACAGTGGACAGAGCAGTGGTAGTTGCAGCATCCTGTAGCGCACTGCTTTCGATAAACGTTACCATGTTGCATTATCTTTACAGCTTTCATCTAATAACAAGGACAGCGCTTGGGCAAATTAAATTATGATACTTCAATGATGCGAAATGGCAGTCTATGTTATATACCTGAGGCACTGGCGCCTTAGTCATGCTACTTGATGGACGCTGCCAACTTATTTTTAGGTAAGCTTATTCCCCTTCTTATCTGTGTTTAAAAACGCCTCACCCTTTTTGCCCTCAAAACCAGCGCGCTGGGTATATATGATAGATAACAGTATCAGTCTACAACCAATTTGATATCTTCACATAACATTCAAACAGCACCTACCGGTCCTTTTCGACCCTTCCTTTCACCAATATTGGCCACGTCCTTCTTCCCACGGCTATGAGCATTGGCTATTTTCTTCTTTTGTCGCTCTTTTTTCGACACCTCTAGCTTTGCCGTGCGTTCCTTCCATTCCTTTGAGCTCTTTGCCTTCGCCTTCTCCTTCTTCTTAAGCTTAGCTCGCAACAGCTTCGGGTCATCCATGATGACATTTCCTGCTGCTTGTTGGAGGGCCGTGTCCCAGCCTCTAGCCCTGACCTTTTCTTCACCCCCCTCTGTCTTCTTCAGCTCTTTAAGGCGCTGAGCATTACGCTCGGCCTTCTTTAGCAGGTTCTGAATACCGCGCAGACTCTGTCCATGACGAGTCTTGGGCTTATTGTCCTTCTCCGTGCCATCATCCAGCAGCAAACTACCGTATGAGATGGACGCTGCTTCGTCTGTCATCTCCGCCTTATGCTTCACATTTTCCTTATCTTCATACTTAATGACAGTCTCCTTGTCACGCGTATCTGCTTTGGCCTTGCTCTTATTGGTAGCCGTCTTGCGCTTCTTCAGTGCACGCTGCTCAGTCAATACCTCAGCCCGAGACAGACGTTTTTTGTCCGTCTTTTCCTCTGCCTTTCGCTGCTCACGCATCGCCTGAATCTTGACTGCCAGACGAGCGCGTAGTCCCTCGAGACCACCCACCTCCTTGGCTGCATTGGACTCTATCGGCGTCACCTGTGCCTGCTGTTGTTGCTTTACCTGCTGTTCGGCCGCTGCTGTGGTCTTCTGTCGCTCTTCATTACTTTGTTGGGCGGCTGGAGAGAATTTCGCACGCTTTAAATGATTTTTCTTCGACGACTCTAGTTGTTTCCGAGCCTGCACATTCTATTCAAGTAGACAGCACGACAGCACAGTCAGTGAAACAATTCAAGCCTCTCCAGCTTTTCTTAGAAGAACGTTCATCCAGCGTGTATACACCCTCAATATCTTCCACACTAGCATCATCACTACAACCAGTCATCAGAACCTTACCTTGTGATACTTTTTAGGCGCAGTCTTTTTCCAATTAGCCTCGGCGTCCGTGGGGAAGTAGAATGCCGCAGGGATAATTTCCATCATGTTACAGAAAAAACGATCATGCTTTTTTAATGTATCTAGCGTCTCCTTGTCGTCCGTCGAGTCCTGCGTCTTCGCTTGCAGCAGTGTGCGTCCTAGCAACATCCTTCGTGTAAGCTAATGCTTGTTTTGACTGGCGCACAGACTCAAATACTGACGATTGGCTCATGATGAGCTAACACATTTGTATTGGTCAAAAGTGTTCAATCACAACAGTGATGGTCCCTTGGTTTCCCTTGTCCTTTCTTTCTCACATTACTATATTTCCTCCCAGTGCGGAATCCTTTTTATCGCGTATACAAGTGAACGTAAGAAGAAAACGAGATGAGACTATTGAAGACGCTGTATACATGGACCACCTTCACTACGGTCTCCTGCACTGCTTTTGTGAGTTTCTTACACATTTTTACGGGACATCTAGCCGCGCTCTAGCTTTTAATGTCAATCAAGTCTTGTCTAACGATTCATTTATGACTATTTGCCTTGTGTTGTTGTCCTCTATCATGAACGTTAACTGTGTTTGATAGTCTGTGTACATGGCGCTTGTGGGTAATCAGGTAACATTGTGATACCTTTTTCTGTATACATGCTGAATGTAAATTGTTACATTGACCACGTGTATACTATGTCTTACAAGGTATACAAGATCATGTTTCCAACGTTCTCAAATAGCCTTAATACGTTAGATCCATTGTGGGGAGAGGGACAGCCACTGGATGTTACGTGCTACCTGTCTACACGCTCAAAGTGGGATGCATCCCAGGACTTTATTGCAGGTGTAGTGCACGTTGGATCCTTCAAGTCGCTCACTTTTAACTGGGAGAGCTCAAACTTCAGACGTTTGGACCTTAACATTTCAAAGACTATGTTGGCACAACTTACAAATGACTCCAGTACCGTCAATCAAGTGTGGGGTGCTTTGAAAAGTAATTCGTCTGTGTTTTTACACGTCCACGTGACGCACGCTGGATTTTCGCCCAATCCACACGATAGAGAGCTCTACGATCAGTACAGAACCATCCACCAGGCCTCCAATCTTGTCAAATATGCTCCGAGACCGAATGCGAAAAACACGAGCTTATTGTTGTCTCCTGTGGCGCTGCAAAGTGATTCTCAGGCGAGTACATCTTATGAATCATCGACGATTTCTTATTGGAAGCCGGCAGCAAATGTGCGACTTGTGACAGATTTTACGAAATATCCTGTGGAAGAGCTGCCAGTAATGGTGTATCATAACTTACGCTACGTTCAGCACCCAACGGATCAACGTTGGCGTTACTTACCAGCGCTATACGTAGATGATTTGTCTCTGACGCAAGATGAATTAATACCATTGAACGCAACGCTGGATGATGGAAGTGGCGGGGAAGCTGTGCTTCCACTGTTGCTGTCATGGTGTCCACTATCATTTGCCCGTTGGCAGATGCAACTTACATTTGCCACGGTTTTACTATCGCAGGAACAAATCGGTGTCCCCTCGAGTGACTTAGATGCTCTTCGCTCTATGGTGGCTGATACACACCCCATACTTTTGGCGGTGACGATGAGTGTATCGTTGCTACACTTACTCTTCGATTGGCTCGCATTCCGCCATGATGTGAGCTATTGGCGCGCCAAAGGAGAAAACGTCGTTGGTATTTCTCTTCGAGCTATGGCGGCTGAATTGGCTTCGCAATGTGTAGTTTTGTTGTACCTTGTCGACCAAGATTCGACTCTGCTTGTCACAGGCCCGCAGGTTATCAGTGTTATACTGCTTGTCTGGAAAGTTACCAAGGTGTGGCGGGCTCAGCGTAGGCAGCTTGAACTACGCTATACGGCGAAATCTAGTGGTGCCGCAGACAGAGCAAAACAAATGGACAAGCACAGCCTTCGACTACTGCAGGAGACTCAACACGCTGACTCATTGGCTACATCCCACATGTTTTTTGTGCTGGCGCCTCTGGCTGTTGGATACGCTGTGTACTCGTTGATGTATGTCCCGCATACTGGTTGGTACGCCTGGTTACTTGAGTCCCTCACCACAACGGTTTACGGGTTGGGTTTTGCTTTTATGCTGCCACAGCTGGTCATTAATTATCGACTTAAATCCGTTGCTCACTTGCAGTGGCGCCTACTCGTCTACCGTGCACTCAACACGTTCATCGACGATTTGTTTGCTTTTGTTATCAAAATGCCGACGCTGCATCGCATCTCGTGTTTTCGCGACGACATTGTATTCATCGTGTACCTGTATCAGCGTTGGATTTATCCTGTTGATGCTCAACGACTGGAGGACGTTGCAGACAGTGCTTCCACCTCACAGGACGCCTACAACAAGCCGCACAATGAATAAAGATTTATAACAAACAAAGAAGCTTCGTCATTGTTGCAACCAGATATAATTTTGCGATGATCTGACCCATGACTAAGGCTAACATTTCTCCTTATTGTACCGCTTAGGCAGCGTGACTGTGGAGATGATCTGTTTCACATCGAGGAGCCGACGTCTACAATCATGCAGTTTGCAATGTGGCTATCTACAACAATGCATCAGTTTGTCGCTTGGCGTCTATAAAAGCAGCAACTTTAGCCAAGCAGGCATGCACTCTATTTGCCCCTGCCAAACGTCGACTGAATGGTCACGCTTGTTCAGTCGTCCGGTAAGATGTTGAGCTGAACTCAAAGCGACCAATACAACAGGCAACGCCAGACGTTTTGACGCGATACAAGTTGTTAAGCTTTTGTCAATGCTTGTGCTAGGAAGCATTAGAATCAAGACAACGCACTTTTTGTCCAAAATTCAATATCATTAATTTCTTCAGGTTTTCACTTACATGCGGCTTCGTAGGACTTGCGTCGCAATACCAGTTTGCCAGCCTATTTGATGTAGTGTCCCAAGCTGTTGAATACCAAAATGGCTAGAGTAGATTGGAACGTATAGCGGTTGACTTCTTTCGTGCCATTTCGTTGCTTCTAATTCAATACGACCCTTCGTACTTCAGGTACGGTCACATCACCTACTTTTGTACCCAAGGTACAGCCACACCACATTGGTGTGGCAGGTGTGTATGTATAATACACACCTTCGTGTAACCCCGTTACACCCTCCCCTACTAATCCGTGGGATCCGACGTACCCACGAAATCTCGCACTTAATTGGAGGCAGCTTGCCTCGCAATAAGTGCTTGCACTTGCGTCTAAAGCTTCTGTGTTTCTAACACTTGCTCTTTGAGCACCCGTGCATTGCACACACGCTTTATAAGCATCCTTGTGCTACGACACTCGATCTTTGAGCATATAGTGCATCGCACTCACGCTAAAGCATTAAGTGTTACGACACTTGCTTATAAACGTTAAGTGCCAAGCAATTGGTAATAATACATTTTGTGTGTTTACTAACACTTGCTTTCACAGCACAAGGTGCCTAGCACTTGCTTTTAAGCAATACAGTCTTCACAACACTTGCTTTTAGGCAATACAGTGTTCGCAACACTTGCTTATAAGCAATACCGTGCTCACAACGCTTGCTTTTAAGCATTACAGTGTTCACAACACTTGCTTTTAAGCAATACAGTGTTCACAACACTTGCTTTTAGCATTTGAGCATATAAGTGTGTAACATTTGCTCACAAAGCACCGTAATGTTAACACTAGCTTATAATGCACATTAGTTTCGGACACTAGCTACAATGCATATCAGTGTCTAACGCTAGCTTATAAAGCACCTAGTATTCAACACTTGCTTATAAACCACAATTTCGCTTCACTTTAGCGTATAAGCACCATAGCATCTAACAGTAGCTTATAAAGCACCATAGTGTATAACACTAACTTATCAAGCATTCAAGTGTACAACACTTACTTATAAAGCACATTTTCGCTAAAAACTTGCTTTAGAGCACCTTCGTGTTCAGCACTCGCTTATAAAGCACCTAAATGTTTAACACGTGCTTGTAACGCACCTTAATGTTGAACATTTGCTTTGGAAAAAGACTTTAGTGCTTAAAACACTTGCTTATATAATCCTAAAGTGTTGTACACTTCTGATAAAGCTTCATAGTGTTTCACACTTGCTTATATAAAGCCCCACAGTGTTACTTTGCTTATAAAGCACAACATTGTTTACCACTTGCTTATATAAAACCCCAAAGTGTCGTAAACTTTGCTTCTAAAGCAGATAATAGTACTTTTCACGCGAGTGAGGTACCAGCAACTGCTTTCCAAGAAGGTCAGAGGTGAAGCCAACTACTGACCTTGCTTCCACAGCACTTAGTGCTAGGAAGCATCCGGCGACTGCTGTCGCCGCTTCTGATCTTCCCGATCAAAAGCTTCAACGACGTCCGGGTAGTCTTTTCGTAGGGTACCTCATACTACCATGAGTCATACGACTGAGGGTACCCCCTCCACTTTGCCAGATACTGGATGAGGCCCTGATGAAGACGTTGCGCCAATAGAAGCTTGACGTGAAGCTGTTGATGACCCAGCTCATCCGTCAACGTTGGCGGGGGTCGGTGAACCATCGATCCATGATCTTTTGGTACGCCTCCAGCGTCCATATGCACCTCCGGTTCTGTGCCTCCCGCCTCCTTCGGCCGGGGATACGGGGACAACCCCTCAAAGTTTACCGATACACGGTTGAGGTATGGCTTTAGTAAGCCCACGTAGAACACAGGATGTTTCTCATCTTCTTCGGAAAATTTAGCGTATAGGCTAAGCCTTTCTTGCTTGCAACCTTGAAAGTTCCAATAAATCGTCGACGCAGTTTGGTTTTATATACCACAGACACTGCACGTGTCGGTAAATTCCTAGCGTTTAATAAAACCAGATCTCCCACTTTAAACTTGTGTTCGTTTTTCCTGACTTTGGCATCCGCGTGTTTTTTCTAAAAATCCTGGCTTTCAGCCATAGCGTCTTTGACGCGACATAATACGTCAAAAACGCGTTGACAGAAACGCTTCCACCTTCTTGCGCATCGCAACAGGGCTGTAGCCAATCCTTCGGCTATCTCTCCCCCACAAAGCCCTGATGTGGTAGGGGGTAGCGTTAAAGGAACGCGAGGGTTAACTAATCCATTCACATAGAATGGGATGAAGCCTGTCGAGGCATGCACCGCGTTATTCAACGCGAACTCAATGAGAGAGAGCATCGTGCTCCATTGCTTGGGTATTTTCGCACAAACACTGCGATGCATATCACCAATAACGCGATTGACGCGTTCAGTCTGACCATCGGTCTGCGGATGATCCGCCGTGAACATGTCCAGTCGAGTGCCAAGCACTTTAAAGACGGACATCCAAAACTTACTTGTAAAACTGGGTTCTCTAGCAAAGACGATTGCCACAGGCAATCCGTGTTGTCTAAACACACGATCCATGAACAGCTTGGCTGTTCCCTCTACATCACTGGAGTCCGGCACTGCCGCTAAATAAGCCATCTTGCTCAGTCGGTCAACAAAGACCACAATCATGGTGCTGTCTGACGCTTCGCGCGGTAGGCCAAACACAGATTTCATACTAATGGACTGCCACAACCCGAGGGTATATGCAAACTCGCAAAGGCGCAGCTATACTAGGCGAGAGCTTCACCCTTTGACGCGTTTCACATGTGCTTACATACATGCCAACCCATTTATACAAGTTGGGCACCAATAATGGGTGCTCACCGAGCTGTAGGTCTTTTCACGACCTAAATGACCACCAAGTGGTGTATCATAAGCCTCATAAAGTATCTGATACTTGAGGTCCTCATCATGAGAGACCACAACACGAGACTGATCATCCGACCCTATACGACCGTACAACAGACCATCGGTCAGTGCATAACGATGTAATCTTGAACAATTACGTGGTTAGAGTTTTCAAACTCTGCGCTCTCAGCGCCTGCAGAATGGCAATCATCGCGTGCATACGCCAAATGGATACGATCCGTTACTGACGAACTCACAACAGTGAGATGAGCAAGCTCATAGTCAGGTCTACGCAATAACGCGTCAGCCAAAGCATTCTTTTTTCCGGCTTATACTTCACCTCGAAGTTAGACTCCGCGAAAAAGGAGAGCCAACGAGCCATTCTCTACAAGAGATGAGGCGACTGTATCACTGTGAGTAACGACGCATGATCAGTATAGATCACAAACGGCTTTGAGCCAACAGGTGTGGCCTGAACTTAACAAGGGCATACTTCATCGCAAGTAGCTCCTTGTCATGAACTGGATAGTTCTTCTCTGCAGCTTTCAGCTGGCGAGACTCAAACGCGATGACGCGTTCTTGATCCTCAGAGTCGACTTGCAAAAGTGCACTGTCAATGGCAAAGTCCGAAGCGTCACACGACGCTAAACGGGCAATCAGGATCAGGCAGGGCTAAAATTGGCGCCTGAAGGAGACTCTCCTTAATGGCTTCAAAAGCCTTGTGGTGCTCGGTGTTCCAACACCATTCCACATCCTTCTTAAAAGATTGGACAATGGCCTAGCCACTTCCGCATACTTGTGGCTATACTTGTGCAAGTAATTTGCCAAACCCAACCACTTGCTGAGGTCATTCTGGTTCCTCGGAACCGGCCAATCCACTATGGCTTTGACCTTAACATGGTCTGCCCGGATTCCTCGCTTCCCAATGAAGCATCCCAAAACGGAAATCGCTTCCGCACCGAAGATGCATTTGTCAATATTTGCATACAGCTTATGCATCCTCATGCAACCAATCACAGCTCGCAGGTTTTCGATGTGATTCTCCACTCTCTTTCGATTTTCGGCTCGACTATGGACGAATGTATCATCAAAGTATGTCTGTGCATACGCCCTATGGGGCCGAAACAACTGCGTCACTAGACGACTAAGCGTTGCAGTTGCGTTAGATAGCCCTTGGGGTATCACTATCCACTACCAGAGCATACCGCTCGGAGTGCTGACCGCTGTCAGCGGGATATCTCTAGCTTGCAAGAGCAGTTGGTAATATCCATCGACCAAGTCGAGAGCACTGTACATCGTACATCCCACCATATTGTTCTGAAGAACATCCTTGCGAGGAATCGGTGTTTGAGCCGGGATAGTGGCTGCATTCAGCTTATTGTAAGCATGCACTATTCGCCACTTACCATTAGGCTTTCTCACACAAAACGTGGGCGTAGAGTGAGGAGACTTACTCTCACGCACCATGCCAGCTGCGTGCTTTGCACAAAAGAACTCGTCAATGACGTCACATTGTTCTCGTGGCAGCGGTCACTGTCGCGTCACACAGTATTTGGTACCTGGAACCAAGTCAATTTCATGACGTACACTTCTATCCGGCGGTAACCTCGTAGATGGTTCTCTGGAGACAACATATCCATATTCCTTCAACAAAGGAAAATAAGGAT